CCGTCTCACGTTTTTAAAATCTGTTTGAAATTCTGCATTTCCAAAATATTTCGTCGCCCCTAAAAGACTCAACCTTTGGAAGAAGGATAACCGATTTGGCTAGGTGTGCCCAAATTTTTTCGGACCTAAATATGACTACTTTTAGGTGCGGGCAAGAATTGTACTTTTTTGAATTAAAAAAACTAATTTTGCATTCTTTATGTTCATGTGGAAAAATCCTCAATTTTATTCCACATTAGGAAGTTTAGGAACACTTACAAAAGAAGAACACGCAAACCCAAAAACCTAGCTAAAGCTGGAAATTCCCTGATTGTTTCTGTTACAGTTCTTGGGAAATAAATTATAGAAGAATCTCAAATTTTGAGATCCATAAGAAACATTTTAGACATTCGGTTTATTTGATGTCCATTAACCTAGCAGAGCAAGGTCCGCAGCAGACAATCAAACATATTGCATAATTAGGTGCTAATTAAGTGCCCTATTCTCGAATTAAATACTCCTTTTTTTTAAATTATTACATGTTCTGCCAGGTTCATACACTACCGCTCAAAAGTATTCAGCCATCCAGTTATTGGCCGATAAAAAGGAAATTGGATAAAATTTAAAAGTTTATTCACTGTATATTATATTGACTGTATATTATAAGCCTAGTTATCGCCTTACCGTTCTATCGTTGTTTGTAACCCTTTTTCTGAATAAAATCATGACCAATTAATGTAATCTACTTTCTTCAGTTTTACTCTTGATACCCAGCTGGCCAGTTTATGAATAATAATTTAAATTTTGAAGTTGTCTGGAATAGAACAACCGAATGCAATGTTTATTTGTTTATCTTACTTGATTCATCTGCCTTTATTCTACCTGTAGAGAAGTTCAAATGCAAAAAAACAATTTCTGGTAAGTTTCAGTCAATAACATGGCTAAAATGAGGAAAGAGGAATTATAAAAAGAAATAATTAATTTTGGCTCGACAACTCCACAATTGGACTGTTGAATACTGGAAAAGTCTTTTGAAGCGAATATAAAAACACCATTAATTTAGTATATAGCAATAAAGAATTAAAAAAAATGTTAGTGGCTGAATACTTTTGAGCGGTAGTGTATGAACTCAGAAGAGCACTACCTTTAAAACCCAAGAAAATGAAAAGTGAACTAACTATAATTAGGTGGTAATTAAGTGCCCTATTCCCGAATTCAATACTCCTTTTCTTTTAATTATGACATGTTCTGCCAGGTTCATATTAACTCAGCAGAGCACTACCTTAAAAACCCAAGAAAATCAAAAGTGAACTAACTATAATTAGGTGCTAATTAAGTGTCCTATTCTTGAATAAATGCTCCTTTTTTTTAAATTATGAACCTGGAAGAACATGTAATAATTTAAAAAAAAAAGAGCATTTAATTCGGGAATAGGGCACTTAATTAGCACCTAATTATAGTTAGTTCACTTTTGATTTTCTTGGTTTTTTGAGGTAGTGTTCTGCTGAGGTCATATGAACCTGGCAAAACATGTAATAATTTAAAAAAAAGGTAGCATTTAATTTAGGAATAGCGCACTTAATTAGCACCTAATTATGCAATATGTTTGATTGTGTTCTGCTGACCTTGCTCGGTTAGGTTCATGGACAAGTTTATTTGGAAAAAATTCTTGTTTCAGTCCTTTCTACTTATCCACTGTTTTTAATATAATTATCCCATATCGGTAAAGTAGGCCAATATCACGACATTGGCCCTTATAAAACAAAAATAATACAAGATAAAAAATGACAACGGCCCATTCTGAAAACGTACATTAACATTTCGTACAGGGTGTCCCAATTTGTATGTCCTGATAGGAAAGTTTTTCACTCGTAGGAATATTGGGAAACGGTTTTTAGATTGCCCATACAATTTTCCAAGAAACTTCGATTCTGCTGGATCTTTCTCAAATAGCTACGTGTTAATTTCAATGACTCAATTAGCTAGCTTTTGCCAGATATCTCAGAATATGGTGCTATAACGAGAAAATCTCAGGTAATAAGTAGGTATATGACAAATCTGAAGACGTAATCTAATGCAGAATTCGATAATAAGTATAACTTCTATCCCTCGTGGTTTTTTTATTTTCTTCGATATTAAAAAAATCACCTTTGAACAAATGAATTTGCTAACCGAGCAATTTAAACAATTTTCAAAAATATCGAAGTTATTTATAATCGAATTTTGCATTAGATTACGTTTTGGTCTTTTTCCTATTTTGCACGTTCTTTTCGAGTTAAGAGTTACGACACAACCATTTTTCACCGTCTTGAAAAAACGAACTAAGTCAATTTTTTTTTAAATTTCAAGGTTATCACGTTACTATTTGATAGAGCTCAAAACCGTTACCATATATCCCTACAGACAACAGAGTTTCATATCAGGACATCGAAATTGGAACACCCTGTACAGAATCTCTTTTCCGTAATCGTGAGACGCATATACAGTATTAAAGGTCTTCCTCCTATCAAGACAATATGTTTTGCCGTTTTCCCAACGAAATTTGCGGTAAAGTTGTTTACTAGAAATGTAACATGAAAGAGATATTTTTCTTGCATTAACACACAGTAGGTCTCTGTGCGTTTCCAGTCAATATTTGCAAGTTTCTGGGTATCACCGATGGATAGTGTCAGCTTTCCAATGTATTTATTGATTGATGAAATTTGCTTGCTCAACTACAGGTTTTACCCCAATTACAGTTGAGCAGTACATACATTTACATTTAAGTGAGTAAATGAAATATAACTCAAGTATAACAAAAACAAGGTACACAAGAAATAAAATAATAATTAGTAATTAAGTAGTTACTAGCTACAGAGGACACAAAAAAACAAAAAGGCACTAGGAATAAAATATAAATTAGATGCATTTATAGTTATAACGATCACGGCTAACAATATTTGAAACTTAAACAAAAACTTACAAAAACTTAAACAAAAAAGCATTCTGTATGACTGCCAAAACTAACGAGTTACATGATTGGAGCAGGGAAATCACGAATCACACGGGTTACAAAATGTTATAAGATTCTTTACAGTACGTGCAGATAGCATTTCTTTTTAAATTCGTGAAGGCAGTCTCCAAATATATCCAACTGTGGTGGTAATTCATTATATGTGCGCAACATACTAATTAATGGTGAATGTTTGAGGACATTTGTACGAGCGTATGGGATATGAAATAATGATCTCGACCGACTGGAGTATGAATGGGTGATAAATCCAATTTGACTGAGCAATCCACTATCATCTGTGAAACCTCGAAGAAGCTTATAAAGGAAAGTTAGCTGTAGTATTTTTCTCCTGGTATTCAAACTTTTTAAATCAAACATCTACGTGTAATGATTGATACGTATACTGTATAGATATCTAGAGCGAACCAGAATATATACCGGCGGATTTCCCAAAAATCCGAGAATGTCCATGAATTTCCGAGGATGTTCCAGGATGTCTGATGGGAAATATGATTTTACCTCGGATTTTACACACTAAACGGATATTTTATCTGTGATTTCCCGGTCGGGATACCACGTAAATAGGGAAAGTTGGATTGGATTCAAGGAACAAGAATGTAGGGAAACGTAATGTATACGTAGACTGGAGCCAGACGCCACCTACCCCTAAAAGCAACATAAACCCCTAAGGCGCATCTAAAAAGCGGCAGAGCACCTCGGTAATGGATTTGACCCATTTTCAATACCCTTTGTGGTATTATAGGTCAACTGTGCAAAGTTTGAACCGAATCGCCCGAAGCATTTGGCAGTTATCGTGTTCACGGACAGACGGACACCATCGACTCCCCTATAAAGTTTGCATCCAAAAATAGCTGCTTTGGCGACGAATGTACTTTCTCCCCTGGTTTCTTCCTGAACAGATAATAGGTATCGGGGTAACACAAATCCGCAAATTTAACAGAATCTATTATTGGAAAAAGTGATAGACCACATAATCTTTGGAGAGCCTAGTGGACGACAAGAGGAACACGCAGCTAGAGGAAAGAAATTTACACTTTCAGCAAGATGGGGCACCGCCACATTATGCTTTGGCTCCTGTTAAATGGATTGGCAAATGAGGTAACATAGGATAGGATGGTCACTACGGTCTCCCGACTTGACCACTCTTGATTTCTTTGTAGGCATGGGGAGATTTGAAAACGATAGTGTATAATGTGCATATTGCAATTTTAAAGTGAGAGTAGATGGGGATGAAAAATTTTTTTAAACAAACGTATAAATTACAATCGGCGATTCGTTTTAAATTGAAAGCACTGTATGCAAATCTACTGCTAACTTCACAAGGGACCTTCCATTCAAGAATCACATTGAAAATCGTCCAAATTGATTTCAACTCCAAGATATTATATTGTATACACACCTCCTATGATACGGAACGAAAATATGCCCCTTTTTAAACTGTATAAGTATTTTCGTTCGAGACTGAGATTAATCAAGCGCAAAATTCGAAGCTTTCGTTACCGTTATTAGGTATGTAATTAATTTTTTTCCAGAGCCCATTATAATAACGTATACGGTGCGTTAATGATATTGCAATTATGATAATTTAAATGAATTTCGAAGAGTAACTGGGTTTATCTAAAAGTGATGTAGGTCTTTAATTAATCATCTATCAGATTTTGACATACGTTAACATTTATTATAAGACACGTCAAACCAAATCTTTTCCCATCAAACTAAAAGCAAGTCATACAACAACTAATTGATATCGTAAGTAGGTACACAATTGGTACTGCTTAGTTAGTCATTCAAACGTATTAAAAGGAAACATGACCGTTAAAGGCACGTGGTTCCCGTAAACTAATTTGTGATCGCAGCGGGAATAAACAAACACTCCTTATAAAAACTAAATAAGTGAATGACTGAACACATTCTTATGGAAGGGTCATTAGTTATGTTTGATACTTTATCGTCATGATTAGGTGTAGTCATGACGCTGATTAGAAAAATGGTACAAGACGTGACTTACTTTATCGGGGATCTTTCTTCCCTTCTGATTTCTGGGGCTCAGCTCGTCCTCCACCGACGCCATCCTGTTAAACTTCTGGGTGCGCTCCTTGACGCTAATCGGCTGCTTGTCGTTCTCGACGCCAGGATTTTCGCAGTCATCTCGTGGCGGCTCCTCCATTTTTGATTTCTCGCTGTTGCGTCGCCTTGGTGGTGCTTGTGGGGCGATCGATTCTGCCAGAGATATGGACGAGGAAATTGAGATGTTGTCACAGGAAACGTTTGGGGAGGGTGTGGTTGGTGGTGGTGGCGGTGGTGGACGATAAGGCGGCGGTTGTCTCCGCGGGCTTGCATCCTGGATTGAATGCGATGGCGAGACCGGGATGCCTATCGAATTGATTGGATCGAGGCAAGGTTTGGGAGAGGTGATGGGAATCGCAGGGAGATCGGGGCAAAGGGAGTACTTTGGTTTTAGGATTAGGAATTTTTCGTCGCCTTCAGTTTTCGTCGTGGCTAACGTGTTGATGAGTTTCTTAAAAGTCGTTCGTGCCTCATCTGAAATTAAACAAATTTCGATAAGCGCTGTTTGTTTTGTTGAATTTAGTACATAATGGCCCTATTTTATATGACCCCGACAGATTTTACTTGTATAACACAATTAACGGCATTACATTTTCTTACTTTGAACGATTGTTACCTTTTCCGGCTTGTTTTTATAGCACTACTAGCACAATTTCAACCTTGATGGATGAAAATATAAAAAAATTCCATTATTACTTATCAAGAAAATCATCACGTACTGCAATTTGAAAATGGCATACAAGTGACTTTAAAAGACATTCCGAGCGAAATTCCAAATTAAAATCAATTGAATATTCAGATTAAAGCAGATACAATTTTGCAGTGCCATTTTAATATTTTTCGAGCTATTTATTAATATTAATTTTAATCTTATGGGGAATGTAGTTACAGGGCGAACCGCCCACCCTATGACTCTTATTGTAATCCCTTGAATGTAACATGGGGCACAACTTCGTTTCGGCGGCTGGACCGCCTCGCCTTGTCCTCTCACTACGGCAAAGTTGTCAGAACTTAAACGTCACTTCCGAAATTTATTAACAGGGCGAGGTGAGGCGGCGCAGCCGCCGAAACCGAAGCTATGTCCCCTGTTGTATTCCTTTTAATATTGTAACGTAAATTTAATTACAACTAATTAACAATACATTTTCAACGGTCTTTAAATGAATTGCTTTATAACTGTTATACAGTTTTATTTATCCCTCACAAATACACAAATAACAGTGCGAACTATTCATTGCTTCGATTTGCTTTGCTGAGTATTCCCAAATGTTCTCGAACATGTAAAGTACTTCAACAATATCGGGAATATTATTTCACTTTCGAGAATCATATGAAATACCTTTCAGCCCCAGAGTGAAACTCTTACTGCCAAATAAGAATCCGTTTAATTTTAGCAATGCTTTAATAGCACCTTTTACTTTATCTCCAATTACAAAAAATTCCTCGCTTTCGGGGTAGATTTCGCCGCAAGGGGGAAATCTCCTACATCAAATATCCATTTAGTAGAAGTAATAAATTCCTCTTTTGATCATATATTTGAAATATATAATATAATTTGAAAACATTTTGTGATAAACTCCATGTTGATATTTCACCTATTTTTGAAAATATTACAAAATACCTACTACAAATAGAAGAAAAGAAGAATTTAGGTTGAGGGGTTGGTCACGACTTACTTTAGGGGACACAAATTTCCTTCATTACTTAAAAATTGCCACCATTTCCGTTTTGAAATTTCCCCAAATTTACACAGAATCTCTCCCAGTTAACGTGAAATGAGTAACTCTAACTTCTCTATAGAAACGTTTTATTTTTCTAAAATTTCCTCAGAATTTCATCGTAATTTCCTCTTAGTTCCTAAAAATTTCATTATATTTCCCTAGAATTTCCTCCTATTTCCCCAAAGCTTATATTTTCCCAGAATTTCCTTTAATTTCGTCCATTTCCTACATACTCCCCAAGTTATTCCCTATATGAGGAAAAAGAATTTCCCTCATCATGAGGGGTTAGTCACGACTTATTAGAGAACAAAGGTTTCCTTCATAACCTAAATATTGCTAACATTGCCCTTAATTTTCCAACATTTCTAAATTTCCTAATATTTCCCTAGAATTTCCTCATTCCCAAGCTCATTCCCCAAAAATTCATGTATTTCCCCAGAATGTCCTTTAATTTCGTTCCATTTCCTACATAGCCTGCAGCTATTTCCTCGAAATTTCCTATATGAGGAACAAGAATTCCCGAGAATTCCCCTCGTGACCAAACCCTCGCTTTAGGTATACTCGAATCGTGCATTAGATTACGTTTTTAGCTTGTTCTCATATTGCACGGTGCAACGGTGCGAAAAAAATCTAATGTCGACGAATTTTTTTTGAAAAAAATTTCATGTGCAATTCTTGCTCGTACCTCAAAAATTGTCATGAAAATGTGTAAGTACACTACTAGTACTTAAGTGTTTAACAATTGCCGAAATATACTACAGACCGGAATTTTTCTACCACCCCTGCTTATGAACCTGAAGGTAAGAATTTGTATAAGATCTGAAAGAGCATACGAAAAAAACCTGGCCTAATCAGCTAATTCTATCCTACTTGTGGTTGCCGTGAAAAAATTTGGTACTTCGCACTTTCCGGAAGAAATGTTTGTTTTGGTCCCGTCCTACAATAGGTACCAAGTTTTTTTAAACGCTTAATTTTTACACCCTTTATATCGACAGAGGTATCTAGCGGCCCAACGAAACCAATAAATAATAGTACCCCAAAATCTGAATATTCTCTCGAACATCTTCAAATGAAAGCAACATTTTTAAAATGGTCCAGTCGGTCCCGCTTTTATTTGGACAATCTCTTGTTTTTATTGGCCTTGGCCGTTCGTATTTAAAATTGCATCTTGTGTTTGCATATGTTTATAAATTAAAGGTTTAAATTGTAAAGAGAGTTGTAAAATTTACTATGAAATTTTAACACCCTATAGATCAATCACGAAGCATTTGCATGCGCTCACAAGGCGACTCGTCCCGAAGGATTCGTTCAAGAATATTTACGGAACTGCCCAAAATATATTCAAGCTAAGAAATTACATTTTTCAGTTTAATGACCCTAAAAAACATTCGTTCCGAAATATTTGGCTAAGAATCCAGGCAAATTGAGGTAATCTGTCGGCCAGTTAACTGCCATGGTCTCGGCCATGGTTTTCAAATCTGTTCATCTTCATCTTTTATGGTAGATAAAGGAATCATGATCCGAGTCTTAGATGCTACACCCTGTATTGGGAACATAAAATGCAAATAAGTGTGTTCAAAGTAATTTCTTCAACGTCCCTTTGAAAAATGTAAAAACATGGTTCAATTAACTATTTAATAATCTAGGCAACATTGTTTGGAGGGGGGCAGAACCGTCATTTCAATTAAACAATTGAAATTATTGAAAGAATACACGGAATCCATATGATAATAATGTGAATAAAATCGCTTACTTGTCGGTACAAATCAAAATTATAAAATCCAAGTTCTCTTGAAATAAAACAAAATATTTAGTCTAAATTTTCCTTTGGTTTTTTTGGCCATACCTCGTATAGTAAATCTACATTATGAGGATAAATCCGTTAGGACTTTTCATTCGTCAAATTCGTATTTATTCACCTTTCTGAAATCGATAGAATGAAAATGAAATGCTTTGAAAAGAAACAAAAAGTAATATCATTCTTTAAATACTTAAAACAATGGTAATATCTTTAACCAATCGTGAGGTCATAAACGTTTCCCTCCCAAATCGTAAAACAGCTGATTGTCAACATTATCAACCGATTAGATTAACATGCAGGAGGTAAGTAAAACCGCTAATTTTTCCTTTTAATTAAAGTTTCCGTTATCAAATCACAATAAATTATGTTTATTACGTAAGATGAAAAGTAATAAGCACGTGAAAAATAGGTACCTGTAGGTACAGTACACGTCAGAAAAATTTTTCAGTCCGTGCCAACTGAATTTGAATAAGGCGGCAAAATCAAAATTTAAATTGAAAAGGAAAACTCGTTGACTTTTAAATAAAAAAAAACTGGACCACCTACATAAACTTATTGCTTTATAACGTTCCAACAGGTAGTCGAAAGTAAACAAAGCGCTTTAATGGAAGTTACGCTTTGAGAAATGCAAAATGAAAACTCACCCCTTGTAGAGGGATCCGTCAAGTATCTTTTGAAGTGTTTGACAACATCGCGATTTGACACAATTCCGCCTTTTTCGATAAAATAATCGCGAATTACATCAATTGACAGTTCGTTCGCAGCCATGACTATTTTTGGAACGTAAAACGACGAATATGGTACGATCTCGGCCGAGGCAACCTTACACATTGAACTTGAAAACGGGATTATTACGTACGAGGAAGATTCAATAAACCAGATAACAGCTGTTGTAATGAAGTTTAGTATTACGGATTAGGAAACGCACGTAAACTGCTATAAATCGCTCGAAATTTGAGTTTCTGATTCAAATTTAGCGCCATTTTTGTCATTGACAGTTGACCTTTATTGACAGAAAATGTAAAACCTAGCAATTTCACACCCCCCCGCATCTATCGACGAGGAACGCAATTCCCATTGCTAATACTGCAAGCTCTCGTTTAACGTCTTTTAAAGAAAGAAGTTACGGGAAATTTTTGCATGCCAAATAAGCTTACCGATTTTTTGCAGCTGGGGATATCTAAAGCTAGAAGTTTGGTTATATAAATCGTGGAGAAGTTGCTAAAGTTAAAGCCAAACCTTAAAACTAAAACTGTTCGTTCAACCGTTTTAGATTTCATACGAATTGAATAAAACTTGAATATGCATTTCCAAAATTTTTCATTTTGCAAGAAAATGAATCTTTTGGAGGAATTGAACATGATATTTTTCCTTTGGTTTTAGCTACAATATATTTTAGTTTAGCATCTTCAACCAAATAAAACACTAAACACACATTTCAGGTGGTTAGTTACCTTAATTTATGTAGTAGATATGCTCCAACATGAATACATTTACTTCCATGGAAATTAATTCACAAAATTAGCGTTAAGATGAAAGACATGTCTTTATTGTATTAGATAGATTCTTTTCGTTAAATTTTTAGAATTGTACATAGATTAAGTCCTTCAACAGAACGATAGATAATTTTAAAATAAAAGCAAGCATAAAATTAACATTATACGAAAATAGTAAATTACATGGACTTTATTGTCGCATTTATAGGTACCTACTTCTGAATTGGTTGCTGTGATAATTTCGTACAATTCCGAAATACAAATAACAAACTGACAGTTTTATTGTTTTAGAAGTTGTAATCGTAGATTAGGAAATTATGATTAACAGGCGGTTCTAAAAATCATTAATACTTATTACAAAATATTTGATTTGTGTAACCCGCGACACAACTTAAAGAATGTGTAGGTTTGTAGGGCTGGATTAGTAATAAAAATGGCAGAACGAAGCCAGAGCTCTTGGAAGCAATATGCGCAGTGCAATCAGGCTACCATAAGGTAATAGACGTAATAGATTTTTCTAGGTGGTACATAAGAAGAAGAGAGACCAACGGATTATGTATGAATGTAAGTACACAACGATTCGTCTATTGTGTTGTAAGGGCTGTAATTTTTGTAGTACATTGAATATGATTGATTATGTTCACAGGATACACAAGCCATCCTTTAAATGCATATGATGGCATAAGTAGTCCTTACAAATTATAATTTTTTAAAGGAACGTCATCTTTACATAAGACATAACAATCCTTTTTACGCGGGCAGGAATTTTTGGTGGTACTTCAAATATTTTAGTTTCTTAGTTTGATTTTGTTTACAGAGACTACAGGCCACCTTTTAAATGCAGATGAGTTCATTTAAGTTGTAATGTAACCCCAACTAATAAGTTTAGCAAATCTCAAGGCAAATCTATAATACCGTTGTTTTGTACTAATTTTATACTTATTTGTACCACGGATACCAAAGTTTGCACCACTACCTTTTAATCGTTAGTACCAAATTTTTGTGCCATAATTTTGAACTCATTTTATACTAATTTGTACCGTAAATAACAAGTTTTGTACCTACCATTAACCACTAGGACCACATCTACATTGGGGTTGGAACTTAATGCCACAACTCCAAGTATACAGATTTCTATAAATGCTTGTCCCATAATTTTGTACCCATTTTGTACTTAATATACTTAATTGTACTGTAAGTCTGTAAGTAATTAATTTTGTACCGATCCATTTTAATCCCTAGGATTCAGGCTAGGATTAAATCCATTTTGGGGTTGCAACTTAACGTTACAGCCCCGTGCATAAGCGAGGTCGGAGCAATGTAGAGGTTGCGGCGGAAATCTTGCAGAAGAAAAAAAGGCATTTGAAACCGTGAAACGGTACCGAAAAAGAATAGCATAAAATCCTTTGACGGACGAGTCGCGAGACCCCTAACCCATGAAAAGTGCATTAAATAGGTATATAGAACCGCTTCTGGTTTTATAATTATTGAATTATCGCACCTGGTACCTAACGATGAGTGCTTCATTTGGACAGCGAGAAGACCTAACAATGCTGCCAATAGCAACAAAAACAACCACATAACGTTGTTTACATAACAATATTTCCGATTACAAAAATAAATCAATTAAACTGAACAGTAGATCCAGTAAGCGCTATTATCTTTGGAAATATTGGATGGTATTAAAATTAATTTTAATATTACTTAGGCTTAGACTAGGATGATTAACCCACTTAATTTATAGTTAGCCTTGATTTAATTTGATTGTGATCATTTTTAAAGTATTTAAAGTATGCTTAATAAAAAATTTCGTTAATAAAATGTTCATATTTTTTTGTTAGTTCTTTTTAGTTTTGACAAGAATTACTTTTACAGTTTTTCATTGATGTTAAATGAATTTCCAAAATTAAAATTCTCGTTTTTTCTGACATTTCATGGACAACGAAGTCTTCGATTAAACCTTATTGATTGTTTAAAAAATATTAAGTTTTCCGGAAAAACTTCATACCTACTGGCATTCACTTGAATCCTAAGTGCAAATATAATTTTTTGATTAAACGACGTTAGTTTTTGGAAGTTTTCATAAAACCCATGGTTTGTGTCGCCATTTTAGTTGAAAAATAGATATCCGGGGATTCATGTCACGTCCGCAGATTTACTTGTAATTTTTAAAAAAATCTGTTTTTGGTGTCAAATTCAAATATTACATTATATATGGATATGTATGTAATATAATAATATGGGTATGGAAGTAATTAGGTTATTAGTTATTTGGAAATTGCATATCCAAAGAATATACTTGTATATCTGTTAGGCAGGCAGGTAGTAACTCTCAATGATTTTATTGTACATACAGTCTTTCTTTCAATTGGTAACCTTTGAAGAAGATTATTGTTGACTGTTTTTGGTGCAAGTTTTGTTAATTTTGTTATACATTAATTAAATGGTGAGAAGTTACGGTTTTATTACACAGGGTTACTCATTTAAAACGCATGTTCCCAAATATTTCAGGCCTTCTAAAAATCTTAATGTACGTAACTTCGATTTTATCACCAAGCATATGATAAGTTGATATCTAAGCTTCATGGTTTTAGTCAGCAGATTTCAACTTGTAAATAAAGGTAATGAATGTGATAATTCAACGAGGTTTTTCTGCTTCCATATTCCAACCTTACAAGGAAGTCAATTTAATTTAATTCAAGAACAGTCAACTTTGAATATAAAATCGGCATATTTTTATACTCTCACCGATTACTGAAATACTTGGGGTGGATGTTTAAAAAAAAAAGATAATTGCTAATTCTTTTGGGGAATAGAGCTTTTCTGAACGTAAACGTGCTTATTGTGCAGGTATCTACTGCAGTGGGGCTCAAATTCCCGTGGTGAAGATTCTGGGAGCTAAGTTAGCTTGAGCAGAGGTTTCTTTGAGGCATTTACTGTGGTGAATATTGTTAATAGGACAGTTAAGGACGATAGTGATCTTTCAGGGTCGAGGTTAGCCGATCGTGCATTTTTCTTTAAAAAAAAGTCGAATTTTCCTTAGAGCCGCATCTTTCGGAGAAGAATATTTCTTGTGGGCGAATATACGGTCTGCAAATATTTCGAGGGATGAATATTCCTAGGCGAATCTTCCGGGTGCAATTTCTTTGGGGATGCGAATGTTGAAATGGTATAAGTATTCCTATTATGATTTTAAATCCTGCTCCGCCATGGAGGATAAAAAGTTCTTACATTCCCTTCTTCCCACATGGCTCGTGTACTGCTCTAGTCGTTATTTCGGTTGATTAAAACATTGAGGGATATGTTTGAGTGATAAATACTCGATAGGGTCCTGCCTTTACACACAAAATCGTATATCTACCAAAAAAAAACTACGACAGTTACAGGAATGTATCCGCAGATTATTCTGTTTTTCAAACATTAGCGTAAAAAGACCGTTCGGACGTTGTCCGGAAGTGCTTTCCTTCCCTAAATTATTGCCATTATCATAAGATATGTACAGAATAGAATAGGAATAGAATCATATACGAGAGGAATTTTTTAAGGTTCTGTAAGTGTAATGAAGAGTCGCACGGAAATTTGACATAACTTCCCTCCAAGACTCATGTATAATGGGTCCGTTAACTTGGCCCCCCCCCCACTGAGAGATTTCATAGTCGTATTATTTTGAAATGAATGCGCTCGTTATGCGCTCATATGCGCCACCGATAATAACTCTTGCGCCATTATCGTTTTTTAGAAATCCGAAAAAACATCGTTAAGTTAGCCCCCCCCACTTTTTAAAATTTTTTTATGGCTTAACCGTAATGGCGCTAGCTTTAATTCAAGTGGCGCAATTGAGCGCATAACCAAATGTATCAGGTGACCTAGTTACAAGGGACAAAATACGTACGGGGGGGGGGGGGCTACGTTCACTTGGCCCCCCCAAATGTTTTTTCGGATTTCTAAAAAACGATAATGGCGCAAGAGTTATTATCGGTGGCGCATATGAGCGCATAACGAGCGCATTCATTTCAAAATAATACGACTATGAAATCTCTCAGTGGGGGGCCAAGTTAACGGACCCATGTATAATTGCAGTTTCTTGTATGATTTCTAAGCATAAACTAACTGGTGCAAGAAGATATTGTTCTAAATAGTTTAGATATTCCTAGATCCCTAATCAGAAATGACTTCGAGATTTTCACAGTTCACACTCACACTTTTGAGGATTGTAAAAAGTTTTTTATTCTTCTCTAGAAAGAAGCCAGAATGAATCGAGCTTCAGATAAATAAAATAAAAAAGTTCCATTCCGCAATGCTTTT